GAGGAACTGGGAATGGGATCCTGAGGGAAAGCCCAGTCTGTTCAGGGGTAATGTGTGGGAATAGCATTTGCGAGGCTGAAGTACAAAAGTCCAGGAGGCCAGATTTGCCCCTTCCGTGGAGCTTAAGGCTGAGCAGGGCATAAAGGGAATGTAAGAGTGCCTCAAGGCATGTAGTATTTAATAAATTACGAACTGCTTGCAAACACAACATCTTACTAGTCCTTAGAACAACCCTGGGCAATAGAAGAGGTAATTATTCACCCCATTTTATGGATGAGGAAACTCAGTTTTATAGAGATGACTTAACTGGGGTTACCTGGCTAGCATGTGGCACAGCCAGAACTGGCGGCCCAATCTTCTGATGGCTAACCTTGTTTTCTTCCCCAACTCACACTGCTCCTCCAAGGATTCAGCCTGTGGAGCTTTCCCAGGCTCACTGGGAAGAAAGTCTATTCAAATGAAAAGGCCAGTGAATAAAGAGAAAAAGTCAGTAAAGGTTTGGGTTAGAGAATAAAACCCAGTATTCTAGTTCCTAGAAAAGGATTATAGTGGGCAGATTAGGAGGTGATAGTCTGACACATCTGAAATGTGGAAAAGTTGAGTTTAAATAGTCAGTTTTGTCACTAACCAGCTACGTGACCTTCAGTGTCCTCATCTGTAGAGCTTTAAGGACTCCCTGGGGATTGTGGTAAAATCACCACAATGAAGCCCTTCTGGGGTCACTTGAGAGACAACCTTTAAGATTTTGCCCTAGGTCACCTGTGGCAGGATTCATCAAGGAGGCATGATTCGAACTAAGAAACTGTAGCAACAGAGAGGGAAAGGAGAAGAGAAATATGGACAGGGAAATAGTTGAGTCCAGTTATGGTGACAAGGGTGGGTGTGCTGCTTATGTGGGATAGTAAGGAGACATTTGATGGATAGGTGATATAAAAACAAAATATGTGCAAAGTTCAACCATTATCAAGTCAGTTTTATCCACGGAATTAACAGTTTGGACATTTCAGATCAAAATGTATTCCTTTGCCCTTTAACCAATTATCAAGATAGTTGTCCTAAGTCTTCCTTCCTTCTTTTCCTCTCCCCTCCCTCCCTCCCTCCCTCCCTCCTTCCTTCCTTCCTCCTACCTACCATCCTTCCTTTTTTTCTGCCTCTCACCCTTGCTTCCTTTCTCCCTTCTTCCCTCCCACCTTTTCCTTCCTCTCCTTTTCTTTCCTCTTTCCTCCCTCCCTCCCTTCTACTTTACCAGCTTGTAGACAGAGACTTCTTTGGAGTATATTTCCAGAGGGGTGGATTTGTTTGTCTAGGGCAGGGTTGTCAAATACCGGTCATGCATGCTGCCACGCCCCTGCCATGACAGACAATGCTAATCAATCACTGCTCTCTGGGCTTGATCTCAGGATTCATTTCAAGGTGCATGGGTTGGTTAGAGTTGGCTCAAGTGACAGGAGCTGTTTGCCAACATAAATCTAAGACACAAGTGGATCAAATATGGCTTTCCATTTTAAAAAAGGTTAAAGTATACTAGAAAATATACTTCCTTTAACCTTTTAAAACATTCCACCCCACCCCCCACTGTTTTAATCTCAGCAAGAGCCTCAAGCAAAAATAGACAAATGTTATTTGAAGTCACAATCTAGTGAAGTGAGAGTCTGGCAAAGATTTTTTAGAAGCCTGAATGTGTTTCATGAATGAATATCACCTTTTGAATATTTTGTCATACAAATTGGCTTCTGGACATTTTGATGTTTGCCTCATGCAAATTTGAATTTCCCTAGTGCTAAAATTTGGTTTCGCTGCTTTAATGCAAATATGTTATATATGTACATAGACATAGAAGTTATGAGCTTAGTTTCTGAAGCCTATGTTGGAACCCCAGCGCTGTCTGTTTCTAGCTGAGTGCCCTTGAACAAGTTAATGTTATCTTTCTGAGCTTGAATTTTCTCATACTAAAAATGGTAGTAATCATCATTGTTATCTCACAAGCTTATGGTGAAGAGTAAATGAGATAATTCATGTATAACATTTAGCATAGTATCCTACACAAAATAATACTCAACAAATGTTAAGTTTGTGCGTGTGTTGTATGTAGCTACTACTATCTATCCAGGGTGAATTAAGGACTTTGATGCTTATTGAATTGTTTGGCTAAATGTTATATTTCTTTGCCTTTGTGGGTTTAAGTCAGAGTTTTAATGCTATTTGAATTGTTTTGTGATTCCAGCATGATTTTTGTGTGCGTGTTTGAACTTCAAGAAAAATGTCCTCTTTTTTGGTCGCTGATATATTCAAACCACTGGTGCTGGAAGAAAAATAATCTGTCATTGAAGTAGATGCGAGTTGACATGACAGACTGCGCGCTCTATCTTAAACATTCATAAGATGCATAATATGGTCCCTATGGAATGAAATAACTCCTTTAGAGTCTTCTCAGTCCCTTGTATCATGGCTTTCCTAGAGCGAAGCCATTATAATTTGAAAGCAGCCATGCCTGTTTGGGGAAAAAAAGATCAAGGAAAAAAAGGCATTTCACATATCAAACAATTTACATTTATATATTGTTTAGATGTGTGTGCATACATGTGCACAAGAGTATGTGGGTGGTGTGGCTGGGAGTGGTGGCTCACACATGTAATCCCAGCACTTTGGGAGGCCGAGGAGGTAGGATCACCTGAAGTTGAGAGTTTGAGACCAGCCTGACCATCATGGAAAAACCTCGTCTCTAGTTAAAAATACGAAATTATCTGGGCGTGGTGGCGGATGCCTGTAATCCCAGCTACTCAGGAGTCTGAGACAGGAGAATCTCTTGACCCCACGAGGTGGAGGTTGTGGTGAGCTGAGATCGCGCCACTGCACTCCAGCCTGGGCAGCAAGTGCGAAACTCCCTCTCAAAAGCAAAAGGAGTATGTGGATGGTGCACATAGGTGTGTGGTGTTTGAAACTCTGGTGTTTGATATATTATTTCTACTAACTAGAAGTAATTTCTTCAGAATCCAAAACACTTGAAATCCTGATTTTATTGGCCATGTGATTTTGAATAAGCTCCTTGCTAAATCTTAGGTAACTCATATTTAGAATGTGGATAATGATATCTTCATACTCTTTCATAGGAAGGATAAAATCATGTGAGATAATATATGTAAAATGTATAGTAAAATATTTGGCACATTTCAGTCTCCCAAATAATAGAGCTATTAATAATAATAAATAAGTAAAACAAGTAATTAAAATAATGTCTATGGCAAGGCAAACTGGTTTTCAACTTCATTATTCAATGTCCTGCTTTGATTTTTATTTTATAGGATAATCATTTGCTAGCTTAGGTAATGCATCATTCCTTAATTATAACTGTCAAGTGAAGACGTCACTAATCTATACCTCTTCTGAGAAATACAAGCACTTGAGCAAATAACTAATTTCCTGACCCTGAGTTTCCTAATCTAAGAGGAAAGTCTATCTCAGTGGCTGCACTCTGTCATAGCCATTCTTATTGAAAGAATAAAATGAAATAATGGATTTTACAGGTCTGTGTAAGGCACAAACTGGCCATACAACTGGAGAAAGGATACAAAATTGTACATATTTATGAAATACTCAAATATTGATAGGCAGTGTCTAAAGAAGACCAGAGTATTAGAATAAACAAATAGCCCAATAGCAAGTGGAGATGATTACCTTTTCTAAGGATTCTTCTCAAGAGAAAGAGTTGGCTTGTGCAATCATTCACTGTATAATGACATTTTGGTCACAAAGACTGAATATATGACAGTGGTCTCATAAGATTATAATACTGGCTTTTTACTCTACCATTTTATGTTTATATATGTTTAGATACACAAGTATGTCCATTTGTTACAGTTGCCTACAGGATTCAGTATTTAGTATAGTGACATGCCTTATAGCATTGTAGCCTTGGAGCAATAGGCTATACTATCTAGGTTTGTGTAAGTACACTCTGATGTTTGCACAATGATGAAATTGCCTAATGATGCATTTTTTAAGAATGGCTCCCTGTCATTAAGTGACACATGTCTGTGTTTGTTTTTAATAAGAAATTACAGGACATGCTAACTTTTGCCTTTAAAATTTGTTTTTGGAAATAAATAGCATTCCCAAAAGGCCTCTTGGGTTTGTAACTGTGCTATATTTCCATGTTAGATACATCAAGATAATAACATTTGATCAAACACAATCTACATGGAGTGACCAGATACTACTGAGTCTCTGTTGATCACTACTGTGGATATGAGACAACAAACAGGTTTTGCCAGATGTTCCAGGATAAACAGCTTCTCTGCTGTCAAAACCTAGAGTTGAAGTGCAGAAGAGGGATTATTTCAACCTCCTTCATACTCCAGTAGAGGAGGAGCCATTATTATTTACTCAACTTGTCAAAGATAAACATTAAATCAATTTAATGATTTAAGAAGAGTGAATGTGAAATTGGGAGGCAAATTTACCATTTACTTCCATGTATTTTTTCTGACATCTGTAAAACAAGGCTAATGATATCCACATCACAAGACTCTTATAAAACATTAAAAATTTTTCCTTTGTACATGAAAAAATACTATAACTATATAAATTAGTAAGGTATTATCCTGGTCTTTTTAAATTCTCACTGAGATTGTGCTTAATTTGTGAGGTTTGGAAATTAACTTGAATTGTTAACTCACTCAGGTTAAAATTTGGCCTCTGGAGCAAAACAACTCTTTATTAGCACTCAATTATGTCAAAAAATAAGTGTTGAGCCCAGCTGGTTCTGTCTGGGGAAGATGGCAGTGGCTGGGGCAGCATCCACAGAGCCACTGGTGTAATGGTCCACTTAGCAGTTGGGGAAATCTCTTAGTCTGGATGTCAGCAAGGAGATCATGCACAGTGCTTCCAAAAAAATCAAACTTTAGATGGGCAGAAATCAAGGGACCAGCTAAAGCTCGGTAGGAGGAAAGGGAGAAATAGGCAGGGAGTTCCTGTATTTGCTGAACCTGATGTGACTGCAGAGGTGAAACACCTTTTGATTTGCCCAAGGGACAAGAGAACAACAACTCTTGGAAGAAGAAGACAAAGTTTGTCAATTTACACACAAGAGAGGGACCCACAGGCTTGCAGTCTGCTCCCCCAGTTGCCACCCTTGTGATTGCCTGGGCCAGAAGCACAAGCTCATCAATAGCTGTCTGATTGGTGGGCTTGTTGTTTGTGAATAAGAGGGCTCCAGCTCTTGATTATTCTGTGTCACGCTGATATGTACTCATGAAGAACAGGATATTTTACAGAATGACTCAAATGAAAGCCAGAAACTGCTAAAGAAGCTCATGCCATTGATGGGGAATTCTGGAAAAGTGGACATCTCTGCCAAGGACTTTCTGTGTCATCGAGAATTTCAAATTAAGTCTGGTCTGGTGAAGGCTATCAAGCACAAACTGTTGGAGTTGGACCAGGCTAGTTTTCAAAGGAATCACCCAAGTCGTTGGTGATGATCAGATTACTTTGCCAGTGATTCTAACCTGTGGTTGTCCAAACTTAAGCGGGAAACCAAACAAGAAGCGAGAAGAGGTGCTGAGAGAACTTCGACATGCTTCTCTACTCTCTAAGAAGGTCACCATTAATTTTACAGGCAGGGAAGATCCCGGAAAAAGAAAATCCATTAGCAGAATATCACAGCAGAATACATGAGACAATATAGGCCTTTGCCAAGGAAACCTTGAATCAGACACTGACCACATTTGATATATCTCCTGAAGAGCCTTTGGGAATTCTGATAAATCTCAACATGTACCAGACCCCTCGCCAGTGGGTTGACCACACAGGTGCAGCCTCATATAATAAGGCTTCCCATTCAGCAGGATTGGGACTAGAGTTCAGCTCATTTCAGTACCACTTGTGAATGCAGGATTAAGACTTTCAGGGAGGTTTGACAGTGTGTCATGCCTCTCTATACATCATCCCTGGGTTTCTCAGCTTGTTAGAGGGATTAGAAAAGAATGGAGTGCAGATCCTGGTACATCTTCCACAAAGGACAACTTTGGAGAGCAGTCGTAGCCAAAACCTCCCTCTGCCTTTAAGAAGTCTCAGAACTCCAGGCTACATATCATCTTCTTCATGGGAAAGATGTGGAATTTCCCAGGAACTATCCATCAGGTTGTCTTCTGGGCTGTCTGGACCTAACTGGTTGTTTCAGAAGCAATTTAAGGAGCAGTTTCCAGACGTCAGTCAAGAATCACGTTCTCCACTTGTTTTCATCTCCAAAAATCCTCAGGAAATGGTTGTGGAGTTTCCTATTAAAGAAAATAAAAAAATCTGGAAACTGGATTCCAAGATCCACCAAGGAGCAAAGAAGGGGTAAATGAAGCAGAATACAGCTTTCTGAATCAGGAGAAAAGAAACTATACAGCACAGTGGAGTCTGGTACACTAAAATTGCCATCCACTCGTTTTTTGGAATTGAAGCAGTAGAAATCTAAAGGTGTGGCATCAGGCTTGAATCTCTCAGAATTTTAACTCTTACCAAAATCTGTATTTTTCTTAAGGAGTAGGATTCTTACTTATGTAGTGGCTCGAAATCTTTGAATACATTATTTATAAAAAACTATTTGAAAAAAAGTTCAGGAGTATTTCCTATTATTTGGAGGTTACTGAGGCTACAAACTTGCAGGTTTCTATATAAAACATTTCCTCTCTCATCTTTCTTTTGACATGGGAAAATACAATGAGATCATGGTAAAATATGAAAAGTGGAAGAGGAGTGTGGTGTATGAGACACTGGTTGAGTGCAAAAGGTATATAGTCAGATAGACCCAAGTTTTAATATAACCTCTAATACTCACTAAACCTGTTATTGTTTATAGATTAAATTAGGCATTACTTCTTAAATACCTTATCAAATCTGTGCTAAGATGATACCATACTACAGATATCAGAAATACATGAAAAAATATTAATATTCAAATTGGCATTCAGGTAGTAGGGGAATCCCCTTTTTCTTATGAAAGGGAGATGCCTCAACTTTAAAGTGGATGAAGTGGATCAGGCTGTAGAGAAATGAAAGAGTACAGTGATAGCTGTTGTCATGAGTCTTTGAAGGGGCTCAAGATACAGAATTAGAAGTGCAGGGTATAGAATGTCTAAAATTTACCTTCGGATAATGTGAAAACCTAAAAGTCGTTAGCAAACTATGAATACACACACACACACACACACACACACACGACCCTTGAACAATGTGGGGGTTAGGGACACCAAGGTCCTGTGCAGTCAAAAATCTGTATAACTTTTGATTTCCCCAGAACTTAGCTACCAATAATTTACTGTTGATTGGAAGCCTTACTAATAACACGAAGAGTCCATTAACAAATATTTGTATGTTATGTGTATTGTTTTCTTACAATCAAGTAAGCTAGAGAAAAGAAAATGTTATGGAGAAAATTGTAAGGAAGAGAAAATGTATTTGCTAATAAAGGTCTTTGTTCTCATTGTCTTCATGTTGAATGGGCTGAGGAAGAGAAGGTAGAGGAGGCGCTGGTCTTGCTGTCTCAGGGATGGCAGAGGCAGAAGAGGTGTAGGAGGTGGGAAAGGAGGCAGAAGGAGCAGTCACACTCAGTGTAACTTTTATTGGAAACTTTTGTATTAGTGAACCTGTGTAATCCAAATCCATGTTATTGAAGGGCCAACTGTGTATACATAGCTTTATGGAAGTACACAATTTAATACACCATTTACTCACTATATGTACAGGTTTACTCACTCTAAGTATGGCTTAGTGATTTCCAGGAATTTTATGAACTGTATGACAATCACAACAATTCAGTTTTGTTTTTCTTTCTTTCTCTCTTTTTTTTTTTTTGAGACAGAGTCTTATTCTGTTGCCCAGGCTGGAGTGCAGTGGCATGATCTCAGCTCACTGCAACCTCCGCCTCCCAGGTTCAAGTGATTCTCCCGTCTCAGCCTCCTAAGCAGCTGGGATTACAGGCGTGTATCACCATGACTGGCTAATATTTGTATTTTTAGTTGAGGTGGAGTTTCACTACATTGGCCAAGCTGGTCTCAAACTCTTGACCTCAGGTGATCCCACCTCGGCCTCCCAAAATGCTGGGATTACAGGCATGAGCCACCTTGCTCAGCCAACAATTCAGTTTTAAAGTACTTCTATCACCAAAAAATTATTAATATCTTGCTTCCTTTTGTAATCAGTCACCACTCCAAAATTAAGCCCCAAGCAACCAATATTTGCTTTCTAGTTTTGTCTTTTTCAAAAATTTTATATAAGAGAAATCTTATACTGTATATTTTTCATGCATGGCTTCTTTAACTTGGTGTAATTTTTAAAAGTTCATTCATAGTGTAGATATATCAAAAGTTGATTCATTTATATTGCTGTATAATATTTCATTGTATAGATATACCAGATTTTGTTCATCTGTTCACCAAATGATGAACGTTTATATTATTTCTAGCTTTTGGCTATTATTAATAGTGCACTATGAATTTTCACAGATAAGTATTTGTATGGACATATGTCTTCTATTCTCTTAGATATGTATCTAGAAGTAAAATTGCTAGATTATATGGCGTCGGTTTATTTTCTGTTGCTATAACAGAATACGTGAGACTGGGTGATTTCTTAAAAACGAAGAGAGATTTGTTTTGGTTAATGTTTATGAAGCTGGGATATCCAAAATTGGGTGGCCACATCTGGTCAAGTTTAGGTGAAGGCCTTGTGCTGCGTCAGAAAATGATGGAGAAGAGGAAAGATAAGTGGGTACACGTAAATGGTAAAAACACTAGAGGCAGCCTCTCTTTATAATAACTTGCTCTTGTGGTTACTATTGCTGTGCCTCAAATTCACTCAGTCCCTGGAGAATTAATCTACTCCTCTGAGAGTGGTATTAATCCTTCTTAATGACCTGATCACTTCTTAAAGACCCCACCTCCCAACACTACCACACTGGGGACCAAATTTCCAACACTTGAATTCTGGGCAACCCACTTAAATCAGCGTATGGTAAGTGTGATTAACTAAGAAACTATCAAACTGTTTTCTGATGCATCTATGCCATTTGCATTACTGTCAGCAATCAGTGAAGGCTTCTGTTTTTCCACATCCTCATCAATGCTTGGTATTATTAGTCTGTTGGATTACAGCCATTCCAGTAGATGTGCAGTGTATTTCATTGTGGTTTTAATTGGCATTTCTCTAATGACTAATGATGTTGAGCATTTTTTCATGAGCTAATTTGTCATTTGAATGTCTTCTTTGTTAAAATATCTACTTATCTTAAACTTTTTTTCTCTTTGTATTATTGAGTTGGAAGAGGTATTTATGTTTCCTGAATATATACAACTCTTTTATAGGATATATGATTTGCAAATAATGAAATTATATATCTGTGGCTTGTCTTTTTACTTTCTTAATGATGTCCTTTGAAAAACAGTTTTTAGTTGTTGATGTCACAGTTTATTTATATTTCTCTTTTATGGATCATGCTTTTGGTATCATATCTAAGAAGTCTTTGCCTAATGAAAGATCACAGAGATCATAGGGTTAGCTCTTACATTTTTCATCAACTTTTTTTTTTTTTTTGAGATAGAGCGTCGCTGTGTTGCTATGCCAGAGTGCATTGGCACCATCTCGGCTCACTTCAACCTCCACCTCCTGGGTTCAAGTGATTCTTCTGCCTCAGCCTCCCCAGTAGCTGAGATTACAGGTGTGCACCACCATGCCCAACTAATTTTTGTATTTTTGGTAGAGACAGAGTTTTAACATTTGGTCAGGCTGGTCTTGGACTCCTGAATTTGTGATCTGCCTGCCTTGGCCTCCCAAAGTACTGGGACTAAAGGTGTGATCCACTGCATCCAGGCTGTAGTTAATTTTTGTCTAAGGTTTACATTTACTTTTTTCTATTTTCAAAAATTTTTATTTAATATGTTTGGACTGCAGGTAACTGAAACTGTAGAATGTGAAACTGCATATAAGGGAAGCCTTCTGTACATACAAAATCTATCTGTAATACGTTGTAATTATCTGTGTAGAGGGCTTCATGCATTTTTTAAATTGCATTTTAGGTTTTGGGGTACATGTGAAGAATATGCAAGATTGTTGCATAGGTACACACATGGCAACGTGATGTGCTGCCTTCCTCCCCATCACCTACATCTGGCATTTCTCCCCATGCTATCTCTCCCCAACTCCCCACCCCCCACTCTTCCTCCCCTATTTCCCCCCTACAGACCCCATTGTGTGATGTTCTCCTCCCTGTGTCCATGTGTTCTCATTGTTCAACACCCACCTGTGAGTGAGAACATGCAGTGTTTGATTTTCTGTTCTTGTGTCAGTTTGCTGAGAATGATGTTCTCCAGGTTCATCCATGTCCTTACAAAGGACACGAACTCATCATTTTTGATGGCTGCATAGTGTTCCATGTTGTATATGTGCCACATTTTCCTTGTCCAGTCTATCATTGATGGGAATTTGGGTTTGTTCCAGGTCTTTGCTATTGTAAACAGTGCTGCACTGAACATTTGTGTGCATGTGTCTTTATAGTAGAATGATTTATAATCCTTTGGATATATACCCAGTAATGGGATTGCTGGGTCAAACGGAATTTCTATGTCTAGGTCCTTGAGGAATTGACACACTGTCTTCCACAATGGTTGAACTAATTTACACTCCCACCAGCAGTGTAAAAGTGTTCCTATTTCTCCACATCCTCTCCAGCATCTGTTGTCTCCAGATTTTTTAATGATCGCCATTCTAACTGGCATGAGATGGTATCTCAGTGTGGTTTTGATTTGCATTTCTTTGATGACCAGTGATGATGAGCATTTTTTCATGTTTATTGGCCTCACGTATGTCTTCTTTTTAAAGTGTCTGTTTTGTCCTCTGCCCACTTTTGAATGGGCTTGTTTGGTTTTTTTTTGTAAATCTATTTTAGTTCTTTGTAGATTCTGGATATCAGCCCTTTGTCAGATGAGTAGATTGCAAAAATTTTTTCCCATTCTGTTGGTTGCCAATTAACTCTAATGACTGTTTCTTTTGCTGTGCAGAAGCTGTGGAGTTTGGTTACGTTCCATTTGTCTATTTTGGCTTTTGTTGCCAATGCTTTTGGTGTTTTGGTCATGAAGTCCTTGACTACCCCATGTCCTGAATGGTTTTGCCTAGGTTTTCTTCTAGGGGTTTTATGGTGTTAGGTCTTATGTTTAAGTCTTTAATCCATCTGGAGTTAATTTTAGTGTAAGTTGTCAGGAAGGGGTCCAGTTTCTGCTTTCTGCACATGGCTAGCCAGTTTTCCCAACACCATTTATTAAACAGGGAATCCTTTCCCCATTGCTTGTTTTTGTCAGGTTTGTCAAAGATCAGATGGTTGTAGATGTGTGGTGTTGCCTCCGAGGCCTCTGTTCTGTTCCATTGTTCTATATCTCTGTTTTGGTACCAGGACCATGCTGTTTTGATTACTGTAGCCTTGTAGTATGGTTTGAAGTCCAGTAGTGTGATGCCTCCCGCTTTGTTCTTTTTGCTTAGAATTGACTTGGCTATGCGGGCTCTCTTTTGGTTCCATATGACGTTTAAGGTGGTTTTTTCCAGTTCTGTGAAGAAGGTCATTGGTCGCTTGATGGGGATAGTGGTTGGATCTGTAAATTACTTTGGACAGTATGTCCATTTTCACAAAATTAATTCTTCCTAATCATGAACATAGAATGTTTCTCCATCTGTTTGTGCCCTCTCTTACTTTGTTGAGCAGTGGTTTATAGTTCTCCTTGAAGAGGTCCTTTAC